TGGACTCTTCTGCTGTGTCACCGCCCCAGGAGGACGGCCTCTTTGCTGACCCGTTGTCCTCCCCTCTTTTCGTTCAACTGTTCGCTTCTGGTTTGTCACAGTGGAACCCAAGGTATCTCAGTGTGCATGCCAGATCCACACGCAGCAGGGGCTGTACCTGAAGGCCTTGAGATGTTGATGCCTGCAATGCATGCCAACTGTGACTGCACGTGCAAGTGGTGCGACGGGGGCAGTGGGTGTGGAAAGTGGATGGCCATATGTAAAGATCTGCACAGCTTTTCAGAGGCTTTGGCTTGCGAAAAGGTAGACTTTCTTGAGGAGGACCAAGGGGGTAGGCTTGAGCACTGGGGGAGGAAGCCCGCATGCGTTGCGATGGAATGCTCCGAATGCGGGTTTGGCAACCCAGGTGNTGTCACAGTGGAACCCAAGGTATCGCAGTGTGCATGCCAGATCCACACGCAGCAGGGGCTGTACCTGAAGGCCTTGAGATGTTGATGCCTGCAATGGNGTAGGTTTGAGCACTGGGGGAGGAAGCCCGCATGCGTTGCGATGGAATGCTCCGAATGCGGGTTTGGCAACCCAGGTGGCATCCCCATGAAATGCGATGCCCTGGGGTCTATGGCGGACAGACTAGTCGGGTGGCTTTGATTCGAGGATCAAGTCATGGAGGATGGGAAGGTGCACAAGAAGCAGCAGATACCCCAGGCCGGAAAACTGGACGACCTGTGGAAGGAGTTTGTGGAGCACTCGAAGAAGGTAAAGTAAGGAATCGCATGTGGAATGGGCGTCGTAAAATGCTGGAGGCATGTAGTCAATCGTGCATCAACACAATTAATTGCGCGGCTTACAATTATGTTTTCCTGCCCCGCCCCCCCTTTCCTCCCGTTCGTTTGTCGTCCCTCAGTACCNGGAAAACTGGACGACCTGTGGAAGGAGTTTGTGGAGCACTCGAAGAAGGTAAAGTAAGGAATCGCATGTGGAATGGGCGTCATAAAATGCTGGAGGCATGTAGTCAATCGTGCATCAACACAATTAATTGCGCGGCTTACAATTATGTTTTCCTGCCCCGCCCCCCCTTTCCTCCCGTTCGTTTGTCGTCCCTCAGTACCTTCATCACCACGAGCTAGCAAAGTGGCAGCAAGCTGGTCCCCCTACCGGATCAAGAGGTTCCACATCAAGCTTCTTGGACACCGAGAGATCCCTCGCCCGTTCGTAGATTTGACGGGCATCTCTGGGAGTTCCAAGCTGTACCAGTTCATGGGAGCGGAGGTCCAGGAGGAGGAGAGCTCGGGCGTAGGCGTAGAGGTGCAGAAAGAGAACGGGGTTTCCCTCGTAGGTGGCGAGAAAGAGGTTGTAGCTAACCCGCAGAGATGGCAGGCGGACGAATCAACCGTTCTGACGCTTCCGGCTGTCTTGAAGCGATACAAGCTACGCGTTCGCCAGGCGTCGTGCCACTGCTCGAAGTGTAGTGTTGGAGCTTTCGACGACTGCGTTCCGGCCAACAAGCACGCGGGATGGTANCGGGGATGGTGGGTATGGTGAAGGCTGTGTCGGGCAAGCACAAGGTTACTCGGGCGTCTTGTGGTGTAGGGAATTGAGGGGTGTCCGTGGTGCACGTCATGTTCTCGTGTTTGGCGCCTTGTTCTCTTCCATGTTCTTTTGTTGTTTGGGGTAATTTTGTTGCAGTTTTTGTACTTTTTTTGTTGCTGTGTGCTGTTTGTTGCATGTTGCTGTTCATATGCAGCGGCAGGTCGTCTCCCTTTGGCGGTTTGGGATATCAAAGAAGGGTCTCCAGCAGAAAACAAATATTTGCCGGCGTCTGTGGCTAATACTTTCACGGTTTGTCGCCGAAATGGGCTGTCTTTTTCTAAATATATAATGCACAACATGCATTATTTTCAAGCACGTCGGTGAAATAAATGTCCACATATGTCACACAGGGTATTTGTGGTCAATCTCCGCGGCTGTACGCATCAAATAGCTTAAGAAAACGAGCTTGAAAATGGCCTTAGAAACACGTTTGATCGCCGTTTTTCCAAAGGGGGGGGACGTTTTAGCCCCATCCCCGTTTTTTTTTCATACATTCTGCAGTTTAAAACACTACATATCGCTGAAACCTCAACATCCCGACGTCCGGTACTCAATGTAACCCGCGGAACGGGCCTACACCCCACCAAAGCACCCTGACACACTTTTTGGAGCTTTAGTCTTCGTGGAACATCATCAACTGGACCGCTCGACACTCTAGCGCGGAAGGCGCCCATGGTGTCGCGCGTGTGGGGCCGTTATCTGTGGCGTGCGTGTTGTGTTTTAAGGGGCATGCCCACTCGCCATCACATGCGGCGAGATTGATTTGGAAAGTTGCCTTGCAGCTCGTTTACAACGAAGATGTTGGTTCCAAATATTTGACTCCAAATATTTGGAAATTACCGTTCACCTGTCGCCGCCCTTCCACGTCTACCTGTCCATGACACATGCTGCCACTTGATGCGACAACATGTGGGAACAACACGGACACAGGGAGTACACCCCCTACCCATACACAACACCGTCAAAACTGCTTGAAAGCTAGAACAACCTCTCATTCCTCTCTTTGCACATACTTTTCTTCGCTTTTTGTCTTTTTGTCTTTGTTTGTTTTCTTAATATCACACAACAAATCCATCTCTATCTAGAGTAAGGGAGGGTAATAAGGGCAACCTAAGGCACCCCCCACCTCGGCAGCTCGTTCTCTGGTGTCACGATGAGTTATGAAGAGGATGAGGTATCGGATGATAGCTTATATCATAGCCTACAACATAAAGAAATAAATTTGGAAAAAAGTTGAGATGGCGATGAGATATACCCCTCAAAGTATACCTGATTTTCCAGATAAAAATGCGCGGAGAACGACCGTGCGGGTATTAAGGGCAGGTTCCGGTGATGGTCGATTTGCAAAGGTTCTGAAGCGTACTAAGACGTCAAACTTGGCACACAAAATCTTAGTATGATGGGCGTTCCATTAAAAAAACAAAATCGGTCCACAACCGGGGACACAATGCCCATATCCCCGGTTTTTCGGCTCGTCTCTGCGGGGCGAAAAATACACATTTCGGGGGGTAGTGCGGGTTGTGTTGCCTTGAACCAGCTCAAACGTTGAATTTGATGAACTAACGACTACTACGCATCCTGTTCTGAGTCACAAAAAAAAAAAACGTTAAACGGATGCCTATGGATGGTGATATGCCTGTCCAAACATGGGCACTTTTGCCCCCTTTTTGGCTTGACGGCAGCAAATTCCGCCAAAACCGTCCCACATGTTGAAGCAACTATTTTACACCCATATTAACCTCCCGCGTGACGCCGTGTCAGAGGAACGTATTGAAGGTTGTTTGTGGTGACGGCGCGTGTGCTATGTTATCACGCTCGCGGGCTCTCGTCGAGAGCGTTTGTGCACAAAGGATTGACTCAAGTTCCTTGACTATTAACGAGAGACAAGCATGAGCAGCAAGAAGGACCTGCTGCTGCTGCACACAAGTCTGCATATACCCAAACCTATCATATCTGCGTACCCCCTCGGATATCTCGGAGATCCGTATCCTGCCGAGTATACACAAACAGCCCCCCTACTCGGTACGAGATACCATCTACGAACCTTCCGTACATATCGCCAGGTAAAACGGCAACAAAACCAAAACCATTCATCTTTCATATTATACACAAATCATCTCAACTTCCCGATCTATTGAATATTCAAATTTCAAGCTACTATTCCTCCTTAATCCACTACTATGTATATTGGAACTTCACTAGAGTCTTAACAATCATTCCTCTCGAGAAAATGTCGTCACCAAAAACTCAAGCAGCCAAAAACCAAGAATCATCCTTAGAAAAATACTCCGCAAAGATCAACATTACATCAGAGTCACGTCATGAAAGACTTTGGACGGACAACTCCGGAAAAACGTGTCAACTATTACTTCGGACAAGATCCTCGCACAAAACCATGTTTCAGCTCATTGACCAATCTCAAATAAGCTTCGGAAGCACATAGGCCTCAACCATGTCTTACCAAAATATGCCAATCCCTTCCTTCAATATGTCATTCAGAAAAACCAAAAATATCAAATACGGCAAAAGAGACAAAGGTTAAAAACCCGGCGCATATTAAAACGCCAGAGGAAACTTTTACCAATTAAGCCGTTTCTCAAACAAAGCGACAACATCAATTTCTTAGCAGCCCCTGGCCAAAATATCTCCCAAAACATAAAAACTTAACAGCCCCCCTGCTGCGATAACCCCCGAAACAGAAAGTGCAAGCCATCCAGTATTATTTCGTCTGGATTGAAGAGACTACTCAATAAACAACGCGCAAATATGCAATAACGACACTCGATCGTCATCCTGAATACAAAAGAAAAATACCTACTGAAATGATAATCGTGGTATGACATACAAATCCCCCCCGTGATTTTCATAGCAGTACCTGCAAAACAAAGAAAAACCAAGACAACTCCAACACCGCGGCCAATAAATGCCGCCAAACAAAACAAAACAAAAAATTACACAGCAACCCAATAATGCCTCAAAGATTCATGACAAAGTTGCGGTGCACTGAAAATGCCTCCTTGTGCAGTGGTTTCGTAAGGAAGTCGGCGTGCTGCAAATGCGACGGGACAAAAACGACCTTAAACTCTCCCCGGTCCACACGCTCCCGAATAAAATGATGCCGGATGTCAATAATGTGCTTAGAGTTGGGGGTGGTGGCCGGGTTGTTGGCCAAGTGAAGCGCCCCGACATTGTCCTCCTTGACAACAGTGCAAACCACATCCCCATCCGGAAAGATAAAACTCCAGAGATACCTCAAGAAAATCGCCTCCTTCATGCCATCGGCCATTGCAGCGTACTCAGCTTCCGTAGAAGACAGCATGACACTCTTCTGAGTCCGAGAGAAAAACGACATGCTTTAACCAGCACACATGACAACACCTCCCGACACCGACCTCCGGTCGGTCGCCTTGCTAGCGTAGTCCGAATTCACATACACCTCCAAGCTAACACCGCCTACTGTACCCCGTTGAAATGTAATACCAAACGCACTCGTGAATCTAATGTACATCAAAATATGCAACGCAGCCTTCCAGTGCACGGACTTGGGCGCGTAGGAATACCGCGCAACGGCCCGGACGGCGGTAAGGATATCCGGGCGAGTTTGGTTCGCAAGCCACATCAGGTGCCCCACCAACGAACGAAACGGCTCGTCAACGTCAGGTTCACACGCATCAAACTCCTCAAGCTTTACACCAACGGCCATGGGGGTTTCTTTGTTACGGGTGACACCGAACTTTGCGACCATGTTCTCGGCATACGTCTGTTGGGAAAGAGTAATGGTACCCAGAGCAAAATCACGAGAAAAGCGAATACCAGCGTACAAGCGAAGGTCTCCAAGGTTGGTGATGGGAACGTACTCGTTCAAGTCTACCAAATTGCTCACACCAACTCTTACGCCCGATGGAAAAAATATCATCGACATGGACGACAACGACCATGGCCATAATGCCCTCTTCGATCAAGCGCATAACGCAAGCGTCGGCAGCACACTGTTCGAACCCGAGACACTTCATGCCCCTCACCAAGTGTTTATGCCATGTGCGGGATGCTTGCTTCAAGCCATACAGACTACGACGAAGGCGCACAATGTTACCAGAAAGAGCACCGCAGCCCTGCGGCAGACGGATGTAAACACACTCCTGCAACTCGGATTGAACAAACGCCTGCTCCGTGTCGAAATGACACAAGTCCAAACCTAACTCACACGCAAGAGCTGCTAACAAACGGATACTAGTGACAGACGGACACGGGGAGAAGGTCTCAAAGAAATCTATACCTTCGCGTTGCCCGAAACCGCGAGCCACCAACCTAGCCTTCGCACGCACGGCATGGCCAAATTCGTTCGCCTTTCACGTGTAGACCCACTTGGCCGTGATCACGTTCGTTCCTCGTTGCTACTTCTCCCCCGCCAGCATCTCGAACGTCTGNCTTACCAGAAAGAGCACCGCAGCCCTGCGGCAGACGGATGTAAACACACTCCTGCAACTCGGATTGAACAAACGCCTGCTCCGCGTCGAAATGACACAAGTCCAAACCTAACTCACACGCAAGAGCTGCTAACAAACGGATACTAGTGACAGACGGACACGGGGAGAAGGTCTCAAGCAGCCAAACCATCCGGCAACGCTGGGTCGTCGATGTCCGCTACGGCGCCGCCGAGGGAACGGGCCATCTGCTCATCCGCCGCTAGCAGCGCAAAAGCCCCCGGCATGCCAGTTCTGCGAGACCCCGATCGCGTAATCGCAGGCGTCACCTCGTGCCGCTGCTGGCGAAGCACTGCCTGCCGGGACGGCTCATGATGAGCTGAAGCCCAATCAACCTCCGAAGCCGCTTCCCCCACCGCCGCCGCAGGGAAG